AGAGAGAGTGTACCCTCAACCCCAGGGCGCAGGTGGGCCAGAGGAGGCCACAGGGGGCCGGAACAGTGCCCAGAGGGTAGCAGAGCTCAGGTGAAGCCTGGGAGCCCGCATGGCACAGGCCCAGGCCATGGCACCCAGGCCACCTCTGTGCTACAGGGCACAACAGGGCCACTGTGCATGTGGGCAGGTATTTCCAAAGCAAGGTGGCCTTCTCTCGTCATCTGTCCTTTGCAGTCCACCACCTCCAGGAAGTCCACCCGGGGCCCCGCCTCTCTGTAAGCTCCTTCTCTTTGGCACAACACCACCCTGTCCCCTTTTCTGTGTTTCAGCCCTGAGGGCTGAGGGGACCCCAGGCCAGGCTGGAACAGCCACGGGCCGAGGCCTGGGGTAAGCTCAGGAAGTCCACACAGGAAAAGGAGAGGCAGATTGGGGAAAGAGAGGAGTAGGGCCCTCAGCTGCCCATTCTGGCCCCGGCGCACCTCAAGGTCAGCCTGGAACCCACCCAGCCGCACTGACCCGCTGCAGGCTCAGAGGACCATACTCGATCACCCAGGTGCTGGGTGGTGCCCCCACCCACCCCCCTGCCCTGAGACTTACTGAGGGTGGTGGGGACTCTCGCCCGATGAGGGGGGTGTTCTCACAGCGGGGGTTCTGGAAATTGGCATTCTGGCTCCTGATCAAGGAGAGAGGGGCTGTGAGTGACTGCTGGTCGTGGTGGTCCCAGCTCTGAGCCCAGGGCGTGTCCTGGATCCAGGCAGACCCTGGGTCACCTGCTCTGCCTGGCACCCTGCCATCCTGACTTCAGCAGGGATGCACACCCTGTATGCTCCCACTGTCCCTGGATGCTGCCTGCTGGCAAGGACTCAGGGATCCCGAAAACCCAGCATAGTAACCAAGGGCTCAGAGTGGGCCCAAGGGTGCCTGCCTGCCCTCATATGGCCGGGCCCAGGCCCTTAGCCACAGTATCCCTCCATCTGACCAAGTGACCTCCCTGTGGCCTCACCCAGGTTTGCCAGGCACAGGAAGCACTCAATACTAGGCCTACCCCACCCAAAACCCAGGCACCCCCCCCAGGGGGCCCAGCCCTCATGTGGCCCCCACTGTGGGACGGCCCCTTCTTCCCTCTGCATGGCCCCTCACGGGCCTCTGTCCAGCAGCACCCCCTCCACTGGCTCTGCCTCCCCCCCTTGCTCCCCAGCCTGTGGCTGGCCTGAGCTCTAAGCTGCGCCGGGCTGATGTCCCTGCGGCCACACTGAACTCCTGCCCCGCCGGGGCTGCCCAGCTCCTGGGACTCACATGTACTCAGTGACCGGGGCATTGCTGACGGTGTGGGCCGCGGCCGGGATGCTGGCCTCGCTCCCGTAGCTGCTCCCGCAGCTGTAGAGACTGGGCATGTGCACGCGGTAGAGGCTGTCGTGGGCCTGCCGCGGCCCCGCAGCGGCCTCCTCCTCGCCGTCCTCGTCAGGGCCTCTGTGGGGGACACGAGCAGGAGCTCAGCCCCGACACGAGGCAGCCGCACCAGGCCTGCAGGATCAGCTCCGGTGCAGACATGCCTGGGTCCACCCCTGGCCTGGCCACACAAGCTATGGGGCTGCGGCAAGTCACCTGGCTGCTCCTCTGAGACAGGGGACCAGGGCCCTGTGCCTCGGCCTGTACGCAGGATGTGGACTGTCCACTGATTAGAAGGGAACGGGGCCCTCCGGGGGGAGCACAAGAGGCGAGGTGCACTCTTTTGGCCCTGCAGCTCCCAGTCTACACCTTTGGGTAGTCTGAGCCCATAGGGCCCATCTGCACCCAAGACGCCTGAGTTCACACGGCCCATCTACACCCTTAGAGACCTGAGCCCACGGGGCCTGTCTACCCCCAGGAGGCCCAAGCTTAGTCTTCCCTACTCTGCTGGCCCTGCTGGCCAACCTCCACTCTGCTTGGGCAGCTGCAGGGAGAGGCAAAGAAGCCATGGGCCGGGCCTTGGGCTCTCAAGGTGCATCACGCCCTGCCTGGTCCCAGGAAGGACTCAGGGCTGGGCTGCCTGGTGGTGAGGGCACAGGTCAGCCAGGCCTAGGCTCATACCCCACCTCCCCACCACCAGCTGGGTGACCTCGCACAGGGTCTTCCCCACATTCCTCATAGTGAAATGAGCAGCACAGTGGTAGCAGTAGACTGAGCACCAATTACCCGCCAAGCCCAGGGCTGAGCCCTTACAATAGGGGCTCATCTAGTGTCCACCAACCCCAGGAGGTGTATACTCTCACAACCCTCACTCGACAGTTTGGGAAGATGAGGCCCACCATGGCTAAGTGATTGTCGACAGTCACCCAATGCACAAGGGTAGTCAGGACCTGAATCCAGGCCATGTGGTTTTAGGACTGCACTCTTAGACACTCTCCCATAGCTGCTATCTTTATTACCACTGCCACCATCTCCGCCACCACTGTTACCACCATCACCACCATATCACCATCAACATCACCAACATCACCATCACAGTCATCACAACCACCATCACCGTCATTGCGATCATTGCCATAATCCATTATCACCATCATCACCATCACTACTATCATCACCACCATCACCATCACCATCATCACCATCACCATCACCACCATCACTATCACCATCATCATCACCATCACCACCATCACCATCGTCACNTCACCACCATCACCATCACCATCATCACCATCACCATCACTACCATCACTATCACCATCATCATCACCATCACCACCATCACCATCGTCACCATCACCACTCTCATCACCATCACCCATTATCACCATCACCACCACCGTCACCATCACCACTATCATCACCACGACCACCATCACTGCAATCATTGCCATCATCATCACCGCTGCCACCACCGGCAGAAGCATTATCGCCATCACAAAAGAAAATAATGGAGTGAAACCCAGACAATGGAAAGAGATCTGAGCTGAGTGATCTGTGACCCAAGCTGGGCCACCAAAAAGCAGCCACAGCCCAAATGGGCAGGAAGGTGGTAACTGTGGGAGATAAACTGTGGGGGCCCAAGAAGGGAAGGGGCCTGGCACCCTGATACACCACTCAACCTACTACTGACAGTGGAGACTGGGCTAGGGGCTGCCAGGACCCCTACTTCAAAGATAAGTACAGGATGGCTCCATGGGAGGTAGCTGCCATCCTGGTCACCCAGCTGAGTGGGCCACAGAGGCCACGCCACCCAAGGCCCTCCCTGCCCAGCAGTGAGTCCCCACAGGCAGCCAGCCGGTCTCCCCAACCACAACCCTGCGCATCTGTACCCAGGATGGGGAGATGGCAAGACATTCTGAGGCCAGGCAGAGGTGCGGAGAGCGTGGGGCATGGTGCCAGCGCTGAGGCAGGGCCCTGGTTCTCCTGCCTGCTCTGGGCTCAGGCGCTCCATGGGCGAGGCGCTCCTCTAGGCTGCTTCCCATGTGAGAAACGGGGATGCTCACCTAGGTCACACCAGCCTCACAGACACTGTAGGGGCTTACAAGGCGTGAAGAGGTGAGAGGCACTTGTCCCTGTCCCTGGGGATTGGAACAGGGATGTCCAGAAGGCAGTTCCCTAAAACATCCTGTGTGCTGTGGCCTGGGGAAGCCCAAGGACCCCTCGGAGCCCTTCACCTTTTCTGCTGCCAGGTGTGCGGAACGCTGCAGACGATGGAGCTGAACATGAGCGCCGTGACAAAGGAAAAGAGGGCCAGGTAGATGAGGCCCTCGACGCCATCATAGCAGAAGCCGGTCAGGGCCTGCACGTAGTCCTGGGGCCACAGGGACAGAGACGGCGAGGCCACAGAGAGAGGAAGAGACGGAAGACAGGGTGAGATGGATAGGCTGGGGTTGCAGCCCAGCCCACAGCAGCCTGGACCACCCTCCCGCTCCCTAGGGCGCTGGCTGGAGGCTGGGCCAGGCTCCCACTCTCCCAAGCAGCCCTCGAGGCCCCCGCCACAGGCCCGCTCCCGGAGGCAACTCTCACCAGGTGTAGGCTGCGGCAGTCCACCAGCGCGGTGAGGTGCTGCAGGTTCACCTCCGTGCCATTCAGCACCTCCTGCACTCGGAGCAGAGGGTCCTAGGGGAACACCCCAGGCAAGGTCAGCCACAGGTGCCCTGGGAACCTCCTAGACATCTGTCCGCCCCAGCCCCTGCCATGGAGACCACACTCAACCCTGTGATCCCGGCACAGGCCTTGAGGACCCTGGGTTTTAGAAATTGTGTCCCCAGAGTCTGTGGCCTGGCCTCAGGGGGGCAGCTGAGGGTGCAAGCATAGAGGTGGGGAATGGGACCCACAAATGCCTGTCCAATGCGGCCACCATTACGTGGTCCCTTTACTGTAACAGGAGGGACAGAAATACCCATGTCTCCTGATGTGGGCCTGGTTTTTAAAGTTGCATTTTAAGAAAGTTCAAGACAAAGGAAAATTTTCATGACAATTTAAGTGACAAAACATTACCAAAAACTGTACAGTGAGCCCGACCATGTGTGTGCCGTGTGTCTGTGCTGTTGTGTGATTGCACTGTGTCTGTGTTGTGTGCATCTGCATTGCTGTGGATCTGCATTGTGCACCTGCACCGGGAGGAGACAGCTGTCTACAAGGTGAGGACAGAGGCCTCAGGAGCAGCCAGCCCCACCCGCACCAGCCCCCAGGACTGAGACACAAGCGCCCAGTATGGCACTTTGNTGGATCTTGGATTCCAGCCCCCAGGACTGAGACACAAGCGCCCAGTATGGCACTTTGTGATGACACCCAAACAAACTAACACACCCACCTATCCACTCAGTTGCCAAAAACCAAGAAGGTGCCCTAACTGTAACAGAAATAATAAAAGGAAGTAACTTTAAAGTAGTGTGTGTGTGCAAATATCTCTGAAATGTAAACTTTGTGAAGTTTATTAAAAGGGTCGGCTATGGGGCGGTGCACACACAAGCCCGACTCTAGCAGGCTGCCAGCACCTCTGGGAGCTGTGGGTGGGGGTTGTGGAGTAACAGTCCTGGTACTGTGTGTGTATGTGTGTGTGTGTGTGTGTGTGTGTGTGTGTGTGAGAGAGAGAGAGAGAGACAGGCGGGCCCCAGAGCACGGGGAAAAGAGAGTACCCTCAAGTCCCCAGGATGCCCCCAGGGGGCGCACCTTGTTAAGGAATCACGGCCAAGCAGACCTTTATTTTGTTCCTGCATCTGTTCCCATTTGTTTCATTTTTCAAATATAAAGAATTCATATGACTTTTAAAATAAGGAGCAGAATTTTTTAAAAGAACCCACCAAAACCCCTCCATCATCAGGGAAATGGAGGAAAGAGTAGAAGGGAGGGTGGGGCAGGAGGCACCCTCTTGGTGTCACCGCCTGCACCATGTGGGGCCCATAGGCCCAGTGCCCACCCCCACCCCCTCACCTTGGTGGCCGGGTACTCCCGAGGGATGGTCTTCAGGAGCTCGGCCACGATGTCCTGCATCTCCACCAGCGCCTTGTGGCTGCCCGACAGCTTCTGCTCCAGAGACAAGCTGACTGCAGCCGGGCAGGGCAGCCTGTTTCCCTCCCTCGGCCCTGCCCACACATAGGACACCCAGCACTCTGTTCTGTGGGCTGGCGGGACAACCCTCCCTGGCCCCCCAGGTGCCCATGCACCAGAAGATACAGATGAAGAAAGTATGGCACCTTTAAAGCAGATGGGTGGTCCTTGGGACCCTACGGACCATGCAGTCACAGGGAGTGACGGATACGGGGCTGAGGGTTATCCCAGAGTGGACACAGGACCCTCCTCTACTAAGGCATCCCTGGGACCCGCCACACCCATCAACTGGCTTTGTCTTGCAGGGTTGGCCAAGGGCAACCCAGGAAATAAAAGAAGTCCAGGGATTTGGGGGGCATTAAGCAGGCCACCCCAAAAGGCTTATGCTGAGGGCACCAGGGCAGTAACCCAAGGGGCAGTTAGTGATGTCAACAGGGCGTTTGCCCAGCTGTCTCCCCAAGGCTCCCAGGGTCAGTGGGCCTGGTGGGCTGCGAATATCCGAGATGGAGGGCCATGGCCTGCCTGGTGCTTCAGACTGTGCCCTCAGCAGGCCTGAGCTCTCACCTGCTGGAAGGGGTTGGAGGCGCGGGGCGAGCAGGCCAGATAGTACTGCAGGATGTCTGTGGAGAGAGGTCAGGTGGCTGAGCAAGTGTGGCTGGCTGTGTCTGTGTGCGGGTCTGCGTGTCTATATGTGTGTGCTCACACAAGTACACGTGTGTCAAAGACACATCTATGTGCATATCTCTGTGTGTGGCCGCTCGGGTCTGGGGTCCCGTCAAGCTCATGCTGAAACATAACAAAGCGCCGGCTTCATGCAGCCACCTATAGATGGAGCCGGAGCGCTGGCCCCACGAGAGGCTGGGCCTGCTGGCGCTCGCCCAGGACCAGGAGCCCGGAGCGAGGACCTGGGGAGGCCCGGCTGAGGGCACCAAGGCCTGGGACAGTGATGGGGACAGCTGTCATCAGCCCTGCCAGCCCTTGGCAGAGCAGGCTCACCTCTCTCCCATGGGAGAGCTCCTCAGGCTTAGGAAGAAATGGTTCCTTGACAAAATAAGCTAAAAACCACCCTCCCACACTCACCCCTTGGGGCTTTCTTGGTAAAGGGGGAAGGACAGTCCCATGAGGGCCACTTAGCCCTCCTGTGCTCTGCCCCCAACTCAGCCCTAGAGTCGTCCTGCCTCTTCCTACGCCCACACTTCTGGGCAGTCCCATCAGCTCTGCCCTCTCTGCATAGCCTGGTCTACTTCTTGGCCCACTTCTCCTGCCTGCTGGCTCAAGACGCCCTGTCTCCTGCCTGCAGGAATGCAGCAGCCCCTGCTCCCTTTTTGACACCCCCCCCC